AGAAAGTTTATGTAAGAGTATTATTAGTAACGAAAAAATAAGAAATATTATTTAGTAATATTCTTTAATGTTATTTTTGCACTAATAAAATAATAATGCTTTCCAAATATAATATTTATTAATTTTTTTATATTATTAATAAAACATTTTTTAATTTATTAATTTAGAAATGAAAGCCGAAGTCTTTGTTTATTTGTTGTTTATTTTATACATATATACACATATATATAACTTTCATATAGCGTAATTAACTTATGTGTTATATATTTTATGTCCAACATCGCTATCTCAAAACAAATTAAATCTCTATCGATTCCCTTTCGTAGAGGGAAAAAAAGACATCTCGATTTCAACTCCGGAGCAAAGCGGAAATGCATTTCGCGTATGGTTTATATCGCAACGATATTCCTCCGGCCGGTATTCGTAGAGATGATATGGACCAAGGGCCTTTAATGGAACTTCTCGAGTATTTCGGCAGCGGAGTTTTCATGTCGGCGCTCAACAAGTAACGAACGGGAAAGGTTTCTTCTTTTTTTTCTCTCTTTCGCGAAGCGAAGTCCCGAGTGGGCGCGCGGTACGTCCGAACGAATTCAATTCCCCCGGGGTCTGGTATCGGAGATGGTCGGGAACGTTGATTAATCGCGAGTGCAAACAACGTTGTAACGTTGCTCGATATCCGCGGTCCCTTCTCCGAAGACGTGAAGAGAGATGGAGCGCGCGGCTCCTGGAAGACGACAATTAATTTTCCCAATTCTGTCGGCCGTGCCGCGACGCTCGCGCGCCAGCTGCGCCGACATTAATAAGAGAAGACATACGTATCGCCGTGAATAGCGGAAAGCCGATGTATGTACATACACCGAGGCTTCCTTCCGCTCGTTCATCTGAAATTAGGTCGCTAAAAGTATGGCATGCCCCCACTTGCGTAACCCCCAAAATGCATAACCCCCGGCCATAGCTTCAATTAGTAAAGAGACTTAAAGAAGACCCCTCGAGCGAGAACATGTTTGAAGGTGCAACGATCGAAATTTAAATTGATCACTCGTCTGTTGTATTTATCTTAAAATTCTTTTTTTTTTTTTGTAATCATATAATGCTACCTTCAGAATGTTATAGAAAATTTAATGATGTATGTATGTACATACATACGAGAAATGTTTACGAGTTGAATATATCATATTTGCATGTTACATTTCAGATCTCAATATCCGAAGATGTACGAAAATTTTGAAAAACAAAAATTTTAATGCAGCGATCACGAAATCCCCGGGAGATTCTCTTTTTTTTTCTACAGAGAACCACGATTTTATTCTAAACGCAATTTTATTTACGCGAGAAATTGAATCGGTTTTACGGTCAGTAGTAACAAAATCTAGTCAGTTCGCGAGCAAATTGGCACGTCCAGGAGTGCGGGCGCGCTTTGGAAAGTTGGGTGCGAGGGCACACGCGAAACTCGATTCGCTTGTAGAATAAAATAGGCGGCACGATAGCGCTAATATACAAGTAACGCTAATATACAAGCAAAATCCAATTTGTCCGCTGTTGAAATCGGTCAGCGAAGCGCAGTTTTCAGAGCGGACATCAGCATTACTGCGCAAACGGAGAAGACAAGGTGCCGCTCAGCTCGAGTCTCTCATAATTTCGCCGACGAAATAATTGGATCCTCTCGTTTCCTCGCCTCACTTGCTCTTGAAACGTACGCCCCAAACAACGCTTCCCGAAATAAATTATATCAGGTCCCCGCGCGTTATTGCGTAAACGTAGAGTATTGCTTCTGATAAGCCGGAGAGAGCAAGTTGTTTGATAAAAGCTTATCGCGCGACGGTTGCTTAGAAATATCGATGAATTATTATCGAGAATTATTACGCTGATTCTTTATAGCTTTATTACTTTTATTAATTGTATAAATATTAAGTATCGTCATAAACTATAATCGCGAATGTCAATGAATTTTTGTATCCAACAGAATTATATAATTGATATGCTGTTGAAAAATTTGTTAAATTTAATACATCACGTGTCCCAAATAATTTATTCAAAATTTTGTGTCAATTTAACTTAATGGATATGGATATGATATTTCAACAGGAAATAAATGTAATCTTTATCATAATTTGAATCTAACAATATCTAAAATTAACATGTTCCTTAAAAACTTTTTTTTATTTTATTTTATGCAGATTGTAAATATTGCAATTTTTATTTCTCACGACCACAATTTTTATTTCGCTACGTAGAAATCTTAGTTACGAAAGCATCTTACAATTAGACATATTCCTCTAATGATTAATTGATAGTCGTTATAAATTTTATGTTAATTTAAAAATACATATTGTTACTTTAATATTTTTTCAAAATTGTTTTAATTTTATACTTTAAATTAGTTCAATTAACGTAAGTTGTACAAATGAATTAATAACATAATAGTTGTGTAAATAATAATTTTTTATCACTGTGATTTTGAAGACCTAAATATAGTTAAAGAATATTAACATTATCAACTAATGGTATAAATTTTCGATTGCCGAAATATCAAATCAATTAACTTTTATGCATTAAATTTATGATTAATTATCAAATACATATATACATTAGAAACAAAATTGCATTTTTTCTATATTTTTTTTCTACCAAGTCTTTAATAAAACACAAATAATAATAAGAAGTGCGCATAATAAGAAATATGCAATTTTAAAGTAATTGTGCAATTTTATAGAAATCATATATTTTCGAATTGCAGATACCTCTGTTTAAAAAAGAAATCAGAAGAAAATGATAGAAATCGATATAATCTGAAAAAATTTTTATTATTTTTATTATTTTCTATTATTGTTTCATTTATTTTTTATTTTTCATTCTTTATTGAAAGCTGATTCAATCATTGGAATACGTCTTATAGTAATCTATTGTTCGTGTTTTGAAAGATGAAATGTACAAATGTTTTTACATGACTAGATAGCATGGTAGTTTATATATAAGAAATAATTAATAAGTTGGATATTTAAAAATTTAAAATCTATTTCTAGTAATCTTTCTAGTAATCTTTCATTTATTAACCAAATCCAGTTTTCATTTCATTTTTCAAAAATATAGAAATAATATATATATGCCTGGTAACAAATTTTTTAAAAAACATATATAAATATAAATATAAATATATAAATAAATAAATAAATATATATATAACATGGCTATATATGTTCATATTAGTTTTTACTTTTATAAAATTTCTATTTAATATAAGAAAAATAATAATAATAAGAAAACATAAAAAATAATTAAAAGGATAATTTTCGCATTGTTTCTTTTACAAAAAGTTAAGTTTGAAGAAATGAGAAAAAATTGCCCATATAATCATACATATTTATGATTAAAGGCATATATATATATATATATAATTATACAGAGTATCCCGGAGTTTAACAAACTACGACAAACTATGAAAGCATATTCTACAAGTAGAAAAAAGAAAAAAACTATTAGATAAAGTTTGACTAGAAATGCTTCATTAAAGTAGTTTTAAACATATACACATATAAATATTGAAACATATAAATATTGAAACGGAATATGAAATAGACAAGAAATTTCCATTGCGCAGAATAGTAATGGAACGACTTATTAATGCATTTCAAAATGTTTTTACGCGACAATGCAAGCTTGACATCGATAAAAATGATATTGACGAAACTGATTACAATACAAATTTTCTGAGAAGAGGAAATGCAACAAATTAATAATTCAATTACTGACATACAATAAAATTCATCGGTAAAACTTCTGAGACACTGTCTGTCTATTCTTAATTCAGAGAATATTCTCTTGTTAATTTACAAATCATGACTACATTACATGTCACTATATATGTTAACTCCAAAGAAGTGAACACTAAAATTTATAGTTAATAAAATTATGAGTCAACTCTTTAGATTTTATCTATCACTTCTAGAAAATTTTCCCATTCTTTAATATTACTTCGTCGATGTTGAAGCTCGTCGCGAATGATTTTTTCCGAGTGTCACATGCACGCACGTAATTTTTTCATCGAGTGGCGCCAGGAGTCCGAAGTCCCGAGTGATCGTGACGTATGGCCATCGGCTATTGTTGACGACAGCCATCAACAGCCAGCGCTCGGATTTGTCGTGTGTCGTACGCACGCCGTTCGTTGCGGATCCAATTTAATCGGTGACATTCGGATCGACGATCGCGTTTGTTTTTCTCGGATAACTCTTCAACATGGGCAACTGTTGCGGCTCCTGTTACAAGGGATCGTCGTCATATGAGGATCTCACTCCCGATCGGGTGCGTCCTCTGTAGGTTATGAACGCATAAATATCAATCCTCCATCCGCGCGGTGAATATTATTGAATTGTCATGACACGGTTAGCAAACGGATGACTCCTCGACATTATTTCTTTACCTTCCTGAGGCGAATCCCTTGTCGTCCGTCGTTTGAGCTCGGAAATGGTTTTTTTCCCCTGTTTCTCCTTCATCCTTAACATGTTATACCCTTGCCTTTAGGAAACTATACGCAAGAAACAGGCGGAGGCAGCTGAGAGAAGAATAGCTGAGCAACAACAACGGGGTATAAAAGATATAGAGTCTGTTAAGAGGCAACAGCGACGAGCGCTGGAACTTGAGAAGCGAGAACAGGAGGCTGCTGCTAGTGGTACGCAACCTACGCTGCGGGTAAGAATGCAGAGACTTTACTGCTTTACTGTTAGATTATTTAAATATCCGTTTGAATAAGATTTTACATAGTTTAACGTATCTATTTCAGTGGCAGGTACAATAAAATGGAGAACTTTATATATTCTCATACAGAAGATATCAAGGTATTATTCTATTCTAACACTTGGCCGACCAAGATGAAGCAGACCTAACAACACCAACGATGCTGTTATAGTCACACAAGTGCAATCTTACTTTGTATTATTTACACAGAATTATAGGAGTGGGCTTTGAATCTTTTTATTTAACGAGATACGTCAGCTGAAATCAAACGATTGACACTAAGATTTGTTTTCAGTTGACGTATATTTTTTATCGTATTTTATATACACGTAAGTTTACAAAAATATAAATGAATATATATGCATGATTGATGCTCTAAGATATGACCGACACTATTACACTCATTAAAATTTTGCATCACATTTAGAGCTTTAATTTTGCTTCTGCTTTAATCCACTAAATGAGTAATTCTCTATTTTCCTTGCTTTAATCCACTAAATGAGTAATTCTCTATTTTCCTTGTTATAATATAGTTATATAATTTATGTTACCAAAGAGTTATAATTACAAATTTAGATGATAGCTAAGAATAGCTATCGAACAAAAAAAATATCTTTATGCATTGTTAATTTTACTTTAATAAAAATAAATTTTTATGATTGCAAATTTAGAATATATATATGTGCCTATACTTAAAAAATGTATATCGAGAAATAAGACTAAAAAAGTGTATCGTTTGTCACATGTAATCTCTTATGTATGTAAGTTTCGAAATACAAATTTCATATCTGTAACGTTCAATAATTGTGATATAAAAGCAGTTTGAATTAAACTCTGGTAATATATTTATATCTATATGTAATATTGTATATATAATATATATATTTGAGTAATACAAAAAATATACACTTATTATTATTAGTATTATTATATTATTACATTATATGTTATAATATATATTGTGTTATAAAATAGTGATACATGTAAATGTACAAATGTAATATATCAAAAATTACAAATGAACAAAATGGTATTTTAAAATATGTCTCTTGTAATATCTTAATGTATTCTTTGTATTAAATTTTGCAGATATTAAAGAATCTTTAATATACATAAATTAGGATTTAAAGTATATATATGTAACTTTCTCTTTCTAATTCATCTTGTACAATTTTGTAAAAATTATATTTTGGATAACTTCTCGCGATAATATATATAGAATCATTAAGACGATTAAACAATGATAAGATTCAGGAATAGTGTAGACTAAGGTCTATATTCAGATCTCATTTTTATCAATGATTTTTATCAATTTTTATCAATGCATTACTTCTAAAATTCTATGGTATATGTAACCATATAATGAATGTGCATTTTTCAATTTTTGATAAAAATAAGATATGCATACGGATCTAAATGTCACAATTATAAACAGAGCATTCTGATTTCAAATCCTAATCGAATGTGTTATGTAATTAACTCTGTTAATTTTTCCGATTCCTACATATAATCATACAAAAAAGTTGAAATGAACATTGCATTATGGAATGCTGTTGAAGTTTTAATACATACAATGGTTGAGCACAATATTAAGAGCTTTTTTTACATAACGTGTAAAAAATGTACATAATTGATTTGCAAAAATAATTCTTTACTCCATTCCTTCAAACTTTGTCTCAAAAAAAAGATGAAAAAGACTCTATGATTTTATTGATACGTGTTAAATGGATATACAACTGCAGTATCTGATTTTCTTTAGACCTCAAATCTTCCCTATCCGATGAACCGACCAAGAGCGAAATAACTTTTTCGCCGACTTATTCTTAAGCTCTCTTCCGTGAGCGATTTGTACTTCCAATGAGGCGCCGTTGTTCAACGCCAACCACGTGTGAATCTCATCACTTGCTGCAGACACACCTATGTTCAAATGAAACTCATATAATATATGTAACATAGAAAAAATGAATTAAACAATATATAAGAATGTAAAACAATGTATTAAATATGTTATGTAATTAAAAGAAGATTATATGAGATCACTTTATGATAAACTATTTATTGTAAACATAATAAATTATAATTACATTTTAATAGAATTGAAGATATCTTGTTTTATATAGAAATAATATACAGATATAATTAAAGTATCACCTAGTAACTCGTGTAAAGATATACGTCGACTGGCCAGCAACTCTTTGCTGGCGCTCCTGATCTCAAATATCAGTAACGCCTGCCTTGGCACACCATCACCGTCTATATGGAAATCTATGCTGAATTGAGGATTAGGCATAGCCGGCAGGAGCCGCGATTTCGCGATGGTCTTACCGCCGTTAGGCGAAACAATTTTATCCGGACTGGTGCACCTGATAAGATTCTCAATATAATCACACGCAAACAGTCACCATCGGCGTTATATTAAACTGCACTTACGTTTGAAGCTTCACTCGGCAATACAGTTGGGCGATGTGCGCTACGTGAAGACCCTGAGCCTGGAGAACCTTTCCTTCCACCCCGGAATATTTCTCCCTAGTGCCGTTGACAATTTTTAAATCTGAAAGTCCCAACCGTTTTATGTTATTTCAATATTAAGTCTTGAGAACTCTAATCACCTTTTTTCTAAAAGAAGGAAGAACTCTTTATGTTTAAAATAAAACAAGGCTAAACATATATTATCCATTTCATCTTCGCATTATTTTAAATTACAATAAATGAAACAAGAAAAAATCTGCGTGATTACATAAAGATATACGATGACACTATCGAAACTATCTACTAACCATTCGGCCTCAATCGTAACCGCGGACTAGGTTGCCTTATCCTGCCCAACATATCCGGCTGGGACACCGCGTGAGCTAGACCGGATTCCGACAGGAGCTCCGTGGCGTCGGCCTCTCCACCACCTCTGGGTTCCAGACTCAACGTGATGCCCTTGTTATCATTTTTATCCTCGATAGTCACTTCCGAGCGAAATCTACGAAGTTTTAAACCCCTCTTCACCTACAATTACACGGAATACCTCAAGCGTTACGTTTCGATAGCATGGATAGCACGACGCGTTTACCTTTTGCTTCATCATGCGAAAACTGTTGTACTGAGGTAACTTCTTGCCGAAGCTCTGCTCGGGGCTGGGAGTCAAGCTGTGATGAGAAGATCGTCTCTCTGCGGTCACCTTGGCAGTGTCAGCCTCATCGACAGAATTACTCGCGGTCGATTCCGTGATGACTTTCGGAATCCAGAAGCTCGGCGTTCCATTTATTTCATTGGACTCCTTGCTGGTAACGCTAGCCTTATCTATACATTAAGATATATCAATATTATGTATCAAACTTGTCGGGGAATTTGACATATGCAACGATATACTGTTACATTTCATTTTTCTTGTCAAGTAAGAAAATATTTAATAAAAGCATTCAAAATCATATCATTACCGGATTGGTTGGACGTAGTTGGCTTTAGGAGGGTGACAGTGCGCGGTGGAGGAGGTGGCGGTACAATCGGATCCAAATGTAGACGTATTTTAGATTTTTCCATGGAAGGCCTGCGCACGATACTCGACAAGGAATCAGGCTCGGTGTTCAAACGAGAAGAATTGTCGCTGATATTGCTGGTTGCGTATGTGCTTTGCGTCTAAAATAGATAATAGTAAGTAGACATTTGTAATGGGAAAACCATTCAAGTTGCAAGATGCTGAAGTTGCTATTACGTGAAGATTACCTCACACTCTTCCGACAAGACCTTAATTTTCAGCTCTACAGATCCCGTTTTGGTTTCTCTGAGCGGAAACCAATGGGACTGATCGCTATTCGACAGCTTTCTGATATCATCGAGAGTCAGTGATATTTTCCCGAGGTAATCCTTCATGCCGAAAGTATCATGATCCCATAACACCTAGATCAAATTAAAAAAATTATTACTTCAATGCCAATGAAGAGTTCGACGCGTTCGAGGCAAATGTTCGTAATTACGATATCTAAAGCTTCCCCGGTCTTCGGCAAGCCCATGATGGAACTCTCGTCCCAGCAGGGATTCAGCGTCTTCTTTTTTATGCTGCTCTTGTATTTCGTCTCGTTGTTCAATTTCAATTCGCAGAAAGGATCGCTGAAGCCGTTCAGATCCTTCGCGACGAGATCCTTTGCTCGCAACAACGTCACCTCCATTAAACCGCTTCCGGTAGATAATAGACTCGATATATCGGAGGAAGCGGGATCGGCGTCCTTGTGAGTTAATAATAGTTTCTAAAAGTATTTAATAAGATTTGCATGAGTACTTGGAATAGAAATCTTATTTTCGGATGTAAATATAAGATCTCATAACGGACTGCCTGTTGCATCCATGGCAGACTGTTCCGTTTGATTTTCGGCTCGTCATCCAGCGTGGTCGGAATTAAGCTGCTTCTGCGACTGTTAACCACTTGTTGTACGCTCTTGACGGGATAAAACAGCACGGAGATCGTCATGGTGGAGGCGATGTTGGAACCGCTAAGCGTGAGTTCCTTCCTGACGATCCATGTCGTATCCTTGAAGAAAATATTATTTCTTATGAAGAACTTTTTTTTATAAATAAATTGTGACATAAATTAATAAAAGGATAAAAATACGAAAATGAGTCCATAATTTGTAAATTATATTTTGAATATACTATATACTTATATTTTTGTGTTTACAGCGGTCTTTAATTAGACTCTTATTTCCCTCGTTCTTGTAACTGAACTATCCGGTTTGTCAAGAACTTGATTACCTGAGATAGAGATAACATGGCCAGCCCGAGCATGTCCGTGTCCACTGATTTCACTATATTCCACGAATATATGACGAAGCTCAGCGATACTTGAGTGTAATCCTGCACCAAAAACTGCGCTCTGCAGTCCCAAACCGGGGATGTAGTCGAGCGAACGTAATGCGTCGTTTTGACCTAAAAACCCGAACGTGGAACGTCGATAAATTCCGCATAAATGTAATTTTAAACAATTGTAAGCGTACTTAAAATGCAGCATTTCAAATTGCATTTACCTTCTTCCGATTATTAAATAACATGCAATAAGGATTACACTGAGCGGTATCGCCGTGGAGGTTGTCAGCGGAATGGATGTAAACCACCAATACCCCTAAAAATTGAATGAAATAAATGAATCTTCACATCCTCCATTCATTGGGGGGAAAAAAATATCCAAAGACTTTCTACGAATTTTTACGGAAAAGCGAACGATAAAACATAGTTTTAACGTGCTTGAAAGCTGTACGGACAAGAGTATAGAACCGTCAAGCACACATTTACTCAAACACTGCGTCAAATCAAAGAGCGTTGCACACAATCATGCTCTAATTCCATCACTCGATATTTCAATTAAATTTACCTGCTTTGTGCGCTTTGTGGCAAGAGTCTCGCGACACTGAAAATATTTCATACGATAATACTGATCGCGGAAAAAGAAATATTAGAAGTACACTCGTCGTGACGGATTACAAGGGCCTTTTTTCTGTTTTATATATTCTATTATATTATGTATTTTATGTTATTTCCTTATATACCTGCGAGATGCAAATTATCGGCCGTTAATTCTGGCTGCGGTAAATCGGGATCCAAATGCGGCAGAGTGGTGTACTCTAATCGCGCATTGATATTCGGAATGTTAGCGCTACTGCGGGACGGTTTCTTCTGTTGTAACACGGTTTCGACACTGTCAAACGAAAACGAATTAACGAGAATGTTAAGTCTGAAGCTCGGTATTTCATGCCGATAACGTAAGGCTGAAGAAATCAATGTGAAATGTACTCAGTGAGCAGGCAATGCGACATAGCTATCCGATTAAATGCGATCAATGTCGACTTACATCTGCGAATTCTCCCAGTCGTAAACGCCTAACGCTAACTCGAACTGCGCCAGAGTGATGGTACTAACGAGTCGTTTCTCTTTCAGCTTGATGGTGATCCTCTCGTTGTCTAATGGCCCGACCAAGAAAGATACGTCCTCGGTCCACGTGGCGTTCAAATTCGAGGTGATCCGTCTCTGATCGCCTATCGTTACCACGAGCCATCTCACCTCATCAGCGACGTTCACTGGCAATGGAGAAACGCTAGTTAAGGAGCTTTCTAGCGAGTCCATAATAGTCCTTAATAATAGTTTGCGCGTCCATTAAATATATAACAATATTGCGTGCTGGATGGAATATTCAGAGTAAGTAAAAAAAAACGCTCTTAACTACGCTAAAGCACGCTAAAGGAAAATTTAACGCTCGATGATTATTTCTTTAAAAATCTTAGCTCTAGTATTTAGTAAATTGTTTGCATGTCTTCATCCAGAGCACACTCACAAGAACAACCGTTCTGGCACAAAACAACGGTAAGCACTCCTTGCGGCAATGAATTGGTCATGGAATCCAGTCCAGGACCCGGTCGCTCCCGCGCCCTCAGATTCATTTCCAAATGGCCTGGGTCGACCAGCCAGCTGGCCAGAGCATCTGTTACCACCGCGTGAATCCAGGTCTTGATCAGCGGCATCTCCATCATTTGTACCGCCCGTAAAATTCTTACGCTGAACCAAACGTCCGGCTTCTCCAGGAAACTCACGCTGAGTCCGGTGGCATGCGGAAACGGCGCCGATGCGTTTAACGTTAGATTGACAATGATTGTACCGGACAGCGATAGCTTCTCCACCGCCAGATCGATGTCCATTCCCACGCTGTCGAGATATTCATAAAGGACATTCCGTAAAATTATTTATTTTATAATGAGGAATAAATTTGGAATTATAGATTTCTAATTCTGACATCAAAATTAGAATAATTTTCGAAAGGAAACAGAATAAATTAGTCCAAACGTATCCAAGATATAAAATTATTTAAATTTAATTTTGATTAAATAAATGAATCACCATCTATGATGTGACAATAGAAAAATAATTAATGACAACATATGATAAAATATGAGCAAGCTTGCAAATAAAATACAATTTTGAGAATTCTCGAACGCTTTTTGATATGGCGAACGCTTCATTCCTCACCCTTTACCAAACAACCGCGTAGTGATGAGCATGCGGAATTGCTCGCAATCTAACCGCAGGTCCGCCTCGATGGACAATTTGGTCTGACCGAAGAGATGGCCATTGGGAAGATCGTCATCGCTGCAGCAATCGAGCGTTCTGACGCGAGTGATGCACGGCGTCTGCTCGCCGAGAGTGAGTTCGCGTAATTCTAACGGACCTGAAAAACGAGTATCTCTTATGGAGTCACGATGAAGCCGCTAAACGACAAAGTAATTTGGAATCTTCCGAGCGATGGATGATTAATTTCGTTGGCAAAATTCTTCTTTATCCTCCTTCTCTCCTTCTCTCTCCTGTCGCAAAATATTTACGAAGCGTATCCTTACCTAATATACCAGGTTTGGCTTCATTAAGAAGGGGCTCCAATCGTTCTTTCGCTAAGGAAAATATACTGGCAGCGCTGAATCTCCACCTGAGGAGAGAAATAGCATTCAATTCGTATGACAAAAATTCTAATAATAAATTTGCGTTGTATTAAAATGACAGAGATTCAATCAAAGCGTTAATTTTCGTTTCAGTTTATTAAATTTACATCGCAGATGGTCTTTTCAATCTGCGGGAAATTTCTTAGAATTTTCTCCTCCCTTTCCTTTTCACAATGAATTTTCACGAATAGATATCTCGAGGAGCAATGTGATGAGATTCATTAAACGATTCATTAAACATTCAGTTTAATTAAACGAATGGCTAGATTTAATACGATAAAGCGCTCTTTCGTGCATGAAAGACACGCACTGACGTTTCGGTGTCACAACGAGCGAGTTATTTTCAGGGTTTATCGTTAATGACATCCCATTTTTGCCATCGATAACAAGTTGATTCGCATAATACTACGCGACCTACGCGGTTTCACGAATAGATTAGAGGACAGACAGGTAGATTAACACGTGCCCACGCACATGTCAATTTTTTAGGTGTTTAGATAACATCTTGCCTGTCCCGATGCTTTTAGGTTTTCCATCATGAATACCCTCGCTAAACAGTTCTCCAATATGACAGATTAATACATTACGTTTTTTAATTATTCTTTTAATTAAACTTTATTATTTCGATAGATATTTCATAATTTTATGAAAAAATAATTACTAGAAAAAAATAAGCAAATGCAAGTCAAACGCAATAATAAATGCGCAAAAGTTAAAATTTATAAAATGATATTATTATAGATATAATAACAATATAGATATAAAACAACCAGAGCAATCCAAACAAAATTCTCCTACGCTCCAGCGGTAGGGATAAATATGACGGAAGAAATATTAATTCTATTTTTAATTTTTACTATCTTCTCCAAAAAAAAATAGATAGATAATCTAGGTAAATTTATTTACAAAGTTGTTTTAAAAATCGTATTCAGTGTCTCACCGCATGTGTGCGGAACTAGAGTTTATCCGCGAGTTATTATCCGGTCTTTCTAGATGTTACGGGACTCTTTATGGGGTCTCTCGATAGAAATTTTTTCAAAGTTATCGCGTATCTCCTGCGTTCGCACATGATCAAATAAATGCGTGTGTGCGCAATCGCGCCGTCCGTTTCTTTACGCATACGACGCGTACAGCGTCGCGCTGAATCCATCGCTTTTTCCCCCGCATGTAGATGTTCCTTCTGATCGGCGGGAGAACCCGCAGCCGGCTGTTTCAGGAATGCACGAACAGGTCTATCAACTATCCAAATAAGTAGCACTCTTTCGACGCCTATTGCCGCTTGCCGCACCGGCCGTTTTCCAGCCATTGACAAATGAGGAAAGGGTTGCGCATAAAGAAAATCGCTTGGCTCGTACATACATTTTCCTCTTAACATATAAACTTCTTTGGAATTAAATCGCAGATCTTTTTCCTAATCTAGAAGTCATCACATTTTAAAATTTCCTTTCTTTTTATCTTCGACAAACACGAAGGTATTTACCTTTCGATATGTTTTAATCCGGAATGAGGTTTAATTTTCGTAATTCTTTTTTTACATATGACGGTAGAACTGTATTAAGATTCAGCCAGCTCGTACGCAGTACGAGTCTTACGACTCGACTGGCATTCTTCAATTTATTTAATTTTAACACGGTCGATTTTACAACACCGGCACGACTTCGTTTCGTTTCGTTCGACATACGTCAGCGGCGGCGACGGGCAAGGATTTTATCCGCGGCGGCGCGGGCAGCAGAAACGTGAAAGGCCACATCTATACCACGTGCGTCAGGAATGTGGTATATTTACAAATGCGTATGTAGTACTCGTTCGAGAACGAGAAGTTCATTCACCCGTTCGCCGCGAGGACAATCACGATGTATACGTACATACCCACCGACATTACAATAGCGTTATTACAGCGAATCGTATACGGAAGAACGATTTCTCAGCGAGGTCACGGGGAATATAATAATACTCGGTAATGAAACGTCGCGACATTATACTTAAAATTCTCCAGATAGAAACATTCCCATTACATGTCATTCTCTTACTAATCGACGACGTTACAATTACATCAATTTCTCAGTTTTTCTAAAAAAAAAAAAGATTTATTTATGCTAATAAGAGCGAGATCTTCGATAGAGGGATTTATTTGTGAAAATCGACCTTCACGTTTTTGTAAGCAAGCCGCAATTATCGATAAAATTTTTCTTTTGTAAATTTACACTCGTTAATATAACAACGACGCGTCATCGACATTAAGCGCATACCAGCTGGCATACCTCAGGTATGCCCCTCCCTTTCTCTCGTGATTAGCTTCATCGATAAGTGAGCTGAGAACGGTACTTGCCACTTATTGAGAAGCAGACTGAGCCACTCGGCGGTCTCGTCTTTGTACAGGGCTCGTCTCCTACGTAACCTGGCCAATTCGTGCTGCAATTCCGTCTGAAGGAGCCGGGAGACTCTCGCCTTAACAATGGTCGTTGCCAGTGCCAGGACCAGAACCAGCCATGCCAGCGACAGCCCCGCCGCCCCTATTATCCAGGTGATCGCGAGTGCCACTCCGAGATACAGAGCGGTGCGGATTGCCTCTGCATCTCTCTGCAAAGAGAGATATCTCTTCATCCGATGCGTTCGCATCCATTTGCATGTATCAAATAAATACTCTCCCGCCCTCTCGCGTGTGCGTAATTCAATTCAACGCGTCGCATCGAGTCGCATAATGTAATAGGTTGCAACACTCAAAGTGTTGCATTAACATTAATATTTATGACCGCTGGGTCAATGCTAATTTTATTGTCACTATCTGTGTTACTAAGACAATTAATTCCGAATAGATTACGGAAACATTTGATTGATTTGTTTGCTATGGAGTAGGATGGAGTGGAATAAAGTTTGCTATGGAGAAACATTTACTCTCACTCATTATCATTACCATTACTAATATCTCGTATTTAATTAATTCAAGAATATTTTCCATTACATTTTACCTTGAAATATATTACCCTATTTTTTTCTAATTAACTTTCCCCATCTATCATTTATATTCTACATATTTTGTGTTCGATCGATTTCTTTCTTTTAATATAACTCGAATGTATTTGTTTTCTTCTTTCTTCGAATTATTAAACTTAAAGGTATTAGAAGTACAATAGTCGAGAGAACAGTTATGTTTTAAAAATACATACTAACCTGAATAGAATAATCAATTTTTCATACTTTTCCATCTCTATATAATCAAACGTTAATAATGTACCTCAATTTGCTTAGCTAGTTTAACTTCCATCGTAGTTCTGCAATAACTTAAAAATACCATTTTTTTTTATTTCCTTCTCGTTTTCTTGATATTTATCGTACATGAAACTGAACACCAAGCAGATGGTGTACCCGATGCATTATGCGCAATCTTGCCGTGTCCAGCGTAAAGAATCATAAAGGAATATTAGCAATACAAAATAACCCTGCAATGACAGTCCACTCATACGTTCACTCGCAGCATGTCATTAACAGCAATTTACCCCGCGAGATCATACGACTTCGTATGATCGCAGTTTTAGAATATTCTTGGAAAATATTTTCGTCCCCGAGCCCGCCAAGTGAAAGCGATGTCACGCGACACGTCGTCCGAGAAGTCGTTCCGAGAGTACCTTCGTCTTGCTAGGATGTAGGACATGATTCCCGCGTGCTTACACGCGACGTCGCGTGCAATGCCGACGAAGTTTCTCTGACGTCACCGAAGAGCGTCATTAACCCCGAGTGGTTAAATAATAAATCATGAGTACAAGAAAGTTTTATGATCTTATATGAAATTTTATATGTCATGTAGAAATAGAGAAGGAATATACGAATTGTCGTTTATTCGTGTAGTCGCTTGTAAAAACATAAAAATATACCAAATATATTTGAATAAATAAAAAAAAAACGATACATTCGTTAGAAAATAATTTACACTAAAGCGACCTAAAAAAGTAAGATTCTTTTCTAATTTAAAGTACGCTAGTGTAATTCTTGGACATCTTGTTAAGCAATTAAGAACGTCAAAAGCTTCTTTCAGTTCGTATACGAATTAAATTTAAAACAAGATTCAAAGGAAGAAGAGATTTTTCTCGCGAAGTCTAGTCAGCGTTTGCGAAGCAAAGTGCGCTTCGTTCTTAAAATTAAATAGAGCGATATTAATGCGAGAGAGAGATGAGGTCTCCACGCACCTTCCGTTCTCGTCACGAGGTCGAAAGGCGCATTCTCGCTCAACAGGCGACCTTGCGCAATAGTAATTCAACCTGTTCCGTCAAGAACGTAACATTTCATTAATTGGAAAGTTGCCCAATGCTAAGAGAAGCGTGGTAAACGCGTAACATATACGCAGGTCTCCGAACGTCGAGGAAACACTGTGCATTTTGCCGAGAGTTACACTTTGCCCATTTACAAAATTACAGCGACGCAAATATCATTTATTAACAAAATAGTTCACTCTTGCGTCATAGCTTGTCGTGTTTGATCAGGACAGATTTCAAGTCGTCCAGTGAAGATGTAAAACATGATATTGATTTCCTCTGCACCGTATTGTTTGGAAAAAACACACTTTTTAGAAATTACTTTCGCGTTAAAAAAATCGTGTTAAAATCGTTATGAGTTATGAATCGCGATTTGTGATAAAGAATGGTTTAGTACACATTTAGAAAGGAATTCTATCAAAATCGTTAGAATCTCTTTCTATACCTGAAAATTAAAGATTTTTAAACGATCGGCTTATTGCAAATACAGCACGTGTTCAAAATTTCTTTCAAAGGATTCTGCTTTTTAAATAGCGTGCTAATTACTCTCAGTAGTATAGAGAAGAGTACGAGATAAAGATCACTCGAGAAATCCCACGAGTTCCGTGCCGGAAAGCGTTACTTCAGTGACTTCCCACGCAGATAATAATTTCAGTTCTGCATTCATAAATTTAGATGTCAAATAATAAGTCGGCGCTCGTGTACGCGGTGTTCTAACTTTAATTATTCATACTCTTTGCCTAATTTGGAATCGAATTCTTTTTCTGAAAATAACATGCAAATAAATAGCATTAAAAACGTAGTGTTTCCTGAATTGCGAAATTTCGAGCTAAATTTAAATAAAAAAGTCTAATTATTCGCTTCATTCTGAATAAATTTAACTTTCTTGGAAATTTATTTTTCTTCATATTTATAAATAAAATTTCCTCAAAGAAAAATAACTTTTAAAGTTCAGTCAAAAGATATATCATCAAATCAAAACTGAAATTTTAAAATATCCTGTATATACCGCATTTATTTATTATGTAGCATGCAAAGAATGTTTAAACAGTTGTAGTCACAGTTTGTAGGAGAAGTTTTCTTCTTCTCAAAATTCAATTTGATCAACACGAAACGTGAATAAACAACGAAATGTATCTATAAAGCTTACGAACCAGTGCTTATTTAATAAGCAAAGATGCATTGCATTTTAAATTATTCTTCAACTGCAACTTTTATATAAATTTCTCTAATTAATCATACTTGTTATTCATCAAAAATACAAAACTTCTTTCCATCCCGGCTCCGCTTTTGTGAAATCTGTTTACATCTTTAAAGCAAATTTTAATACTTAAATACTTCAGTAAATAAGAAATCCAGAGATAAATTAAATAATAATAATAATTTAATTTTAATCGAGATTAAAACTGAATGAACGTCTTCCTAAACATTCCCATGTAACTTCTCGAAACTTAAATAGGTCGGTTACGAGGCGGTCTGAAACCGCAGAATCAAACGTAAAAAATTGTCGAGTTCAATAACAATAGCCACAATGCGACCAGCGAACGTTCAACGATGCGCACGAGGTGTGCATCGCGAACACGTCGCCAGGTCGTCACGGTTCTCCTCTTCTTCACGGAACACATTGTGCCCAGTCGCTTTTACGGTCGGAATTGACGATTCAACTCGCGTGGGCTCCTTTGAAAAATACCCACCGCGCACCGGGGACACCGGCTATTGAAGCTACATATGTACGTGCTCGCGCTCTGGAGAGGCGTTCCACGCGAGAAATAGGCATTCGAGCTTGTCTTCGAACGTATCCGTGGGATACTCCGCACGATTTAACGACGCGATTGTAACTTCGTGGCGCGCGAGAAATCGCGTGCCTCAATTTTCACCGACGAGCTCTTTATCGGATTTTATATTTATAATCCCCGATATTTCATGATCCCTGCGCTTCACGTGTACGTCAGAGCAATTCGATCTTTCGATGGTCTCTTAAAACGTGGATAAAAGTCGAATTTAATATTTTCGTCGATTTAAAAATTGCACATGACCGCTAGCTGTGAAACGAATCGAGAATCCGGAGAGGAACGGGATATTTTTCCCGAGTGCGCGATTTACACGGACGAAAATTCGAAATGAAAATGTCTCGACCAAGGTGTCGCACGTACGAGAAGAAGCAGTTGTGTGTCGTGGCCTATTTCTCGATCGACGTGACTCGGCGATATGAGGGGAACGGCACACGCGTTCTCGGTTGTTGCGCTATCAACAATTTGTTATTCGGCTCGGTCGAGCAAAAAGCCGAATGATAAGCAGCCGTACCTGTGCTTTTTGCGCGACGGCGAGGGCGAATTCTTCGTCGGGCGCGGGATCGTCGGGTGTCATGTTGGCGCCCCCCGCCGCACCGCCGCCGCCAACTGTACTGTTAAGGGGTCTGACCGGACCCCCCGTCGAAGACGGCCAATTACCAACAGGATTCCCGCCTCCGATGGATTCGCGCTTTCCTAAGGAAGAGAAGACATATATAAACGTTGTAGAAACACATGTAACATGTAACGTCTAGAGAGGATTTAGCTGGTTTAGAGGATGCAATCGAGATAAAATGAGTATTAAATGACCGCGCATTTAGCGCGACATACATGGGGAAAATACGAATCTTAATCTCCAGTGATGTCTGAATTTCTTCTAATGATTCTTAATTACGAAAAAAAAAATCTTAATTAAATGGCGAGAAAGATTCTAAACACAGATAAAAATGATTTGTTAGGTTTGCTTCAAGCATAATCTGTCATTTGTAAAACGCATTTCAAGTACGTGATTATACTTAAATTAATCTCTGAATTATAAATGTGAGGTATAAATTCTTCAAGTTTGTGTCTGATATAAAAAAAAAAAAAAATAAAAAGTTGAATGATTTTAATACAAAACGGGCATCTAATTGATTGCATAATGTATCGAATAAACATTTTGTAGTAATATTTCTCATGTAACTCATGTAACTTATATATGGTTGTATACACATTTTAAAATGATTTATAACTAATTACATCCTGAGATTATATTTTAATTATTTCTTTTCAGCTTCCATAATATCTTTATATTATGGTACTTTAGAAGCTGAAAAAGAAATAATATTAAATTACCATAATATTAAAGTACCATAACATTTTAAAATAAAAATGCAAGCAAGTCAAAATCAAGGCAAGATCTTTCATGCATAATAATTTTATTTTCAATTTTATATAAATTCAAGAATATTTTAATTTTTGTCATCAACTATATTGTTAACGGTCATATAACTATAAAGGTAGAACTATATATTCTTCCCTAATAAATTGATAGTCAATTAAATGGTATTGATTAAACCTTTTCGAGAAATTATTTTATTTACTGCGAGAAATAACCAGAATTCGAATATAGGTCTCCATTATCCAGAACGGGCATTATAATATCAATATTTCAATAACAATATTATTATTAACTGTTAATATTATTAGATTTCAACATTGTTTATATGACATAAAATAAGTTTAATAAAATTAAAGGATAACATTTAATGAAAAAGTAACGATCCTATTATATTATATATAAAATTATATATTATATATAAAATTTTGCTTTTCATCCTTATAATTATATAGAAGCACAAACCCTTGCCCCATTCTTTTTGTTATGTCTCCTCTTGTTGCCTTGCTATTTTATCAGACTTTTCTTTTAAGTCGTGTAATATCGGCTAAGAGTTGATTGGGTTTTGTTTGCTTCAAGTGAAACGCAATCTACAGTCTATAACAAACAATTTGCAATTCTCTGCATTGCATATCAGTCAGCGTATCGGTAAAAGAATGAGGACAAGTGTCACGCATAAGGATTATTACTGCGGGAAAATGTGCATTCCGGTACATTCGCGTGACATATCCCGTGGATATTTTCCGGCCATTTGTTAAGCTAACTGTCTCGCTTAATGGCCGCTTCTTCTTGGCCCTTTGAATCGCGCGTCTCTATTGACTTACTCTACAAGTATACTTCATACTTACGGAATGCTTGCGGTGAAACTACGAATGTACCCTTGCGAAACAGGCTGGATAGGAAAGTTTGATATTCTTTGCCTATTATAAAACGAGAAAAGTTCATGCTCGGTCATTGGCCGATAAGCACTCGAATAAAAATTGAAACTGCCTTCATGTAAAAGTTATAAAAAAAAGATATTAAAAACTGTAACTTGCTTTTTGTCGCGCAAACATCCACGCGTGCGGACTCGCTCCGATATGACATGTTGGAAGAAAGACAACTTTTTATCTCTCCTGACTCACGTTTAGAAAAAGCGCTCTTGGCGCTTTTGATGTCTAAAGGCAATTCTTATCAAACTTTAATCGATAAAGCTATTTAGATGATATCAAAGTCACGGCTCCGTTGCTCCGTAATAAAATAATAAAACCGCAACTGATTCCATGGCGAATCAACGCACGAGGATAAGAGCGATAATTCAGGATGCGACCTTGACATTATGGAGGCGCATGTGGGGTGGAATTAGCATTGCAACCTTTCACGCGGTTGACGTCGCGTACAGTTGTGCCAAGAGTAATTACTTCCGCAGATTGAATTTGGCGAATCACGCCTCGCCATTTCGAATGCGATATAGCGTGGTGTGTGTGTGTGTGTATGTGTGTGTGTGTGTGTGTGTGTGTGTGTGTGTGTGTGTGTGTGTGTGTGTGTGTGTGTGTGTGTGTGTGTGTGTGTGTGTGTCGTGG